TGTTCGACTTCATCTAACTACTTTTTAATATTTATCTAAATAATTTGATAAAATTTAATGTTGAGAGAATATACCGGCTTTAAACAAATTGAATTAACTTGTTATCTCATCACATGTCACACAAGGGAACAAAACCCAACACTTACATAAAATATAAAATTTACCTATAGTATGAAACTAAAACAGAAACTATGTTTTGAAGGAACATGACCATAATGTCATTTATTAATTATTAACAAGAACTGATATTTGTTATTTCACTAATATTACTTATTGATTTAATATCAAAACTTATTGATAATACCTTTTATATATTCAATCTTGATGACTTGTTAAAATCATGATTAAACTTTTTATTTTATTAATATTATTTGTTTAGTCACTAATAAAACTCATTGACAATACTCTCTACATATTTAATTTGTGACTTATTCAAACCATAACTTATTAATTCACTAATGTTACATGTTAATTCACTGATGTCACATGTTAAAACAATAAAGGGTATTATGAATATTTTCCTTCAGAACATATTTTCAATTAAGTTTCTTGGTTTGGCAGTGAGTTTTTAGAATTTCTTTGGTCTTGATTTCAATATAATGTCTCATCAGTGGTCCTACAATGAAATTCTCCCAAATTTATTTATTAATTAATTGTGTCATGACTAAATGAAAGATGATCGCCCATGAAACTTATTTAACATTTTAAAATTTGAGCAAAGCCCATCAGTGTTGATTAACTCCTTTTGGGGAGGCACAGAGAAGACTGGAGTTTGTGGGAGACTGGGAGTCAAGTGAGAAAAAAAAAAGGGGGGAAAGCACAGTTATTTAATAGTAGTGCTTTCATTAATCACACTCAACCTCCCCAGTTGTTATTTGCTAATGTTTACTTAATTTGATTTAATTATTTATTCGTTAGGTTACCTAAAGATGAATTCTTTTTAGGTGTTTGTTCTGACGGAATTCTAACATGTTTTTCAACTTTTAAAGATTACTCCGCATATCCTTTTTTTTTTTTTTTTAAAGAAGAAGTAGTAGAGATAGTTGAGTTTTGTAATTCCAGGTCATTCATTATAGCAAAATCATGGAAGCTAGCTACTTGATTATGGTTTACTTCGAACTTATCCCACCCCTAATAAATTTTCATTTGTGGGACCTGTAATTTTGTTTAAGAGACTTTACAAATTCCTTCATCCACAAAGTGGAAACTGGAAAGTGGTTTAGATCAGCAATGTTAATAATAGAGGAGGTAACAAAGTAGATGTGCTACATATAGTAACAATCTGAATTTTTTAAGCATCATTTTAGAATTTCATTTTTAAAGGTGTATGAAGACTATGGCTCAGGAGATACCAACTCCTTTCCATTAATGCTCTGATTCTTTAAAAGATTAATCCCTGGCTGTGGAGATGTTCTGAGAAGAAAAATAATAGAGGAGGTAAGTCAAAAAGTAATTGATTAGGTGAGTGGAAAAAGATATGTAGTGGCATATAAAGAAAATACGTGTGTACTTTTTCCTCTGTTCTCTTGGCGCCACTTTAGTTTGCAATTTTCCTCTTTTAATTTGGTCAAAAACTACTGCCTCTTAACGAGGAGTGTCAACAGGGCTCCCTCGACATGTTTCTACATCGCAAGAAAGAAAAGGAGAAGATCACACTTAAGGCCTCAGAAATAACAAAATTGCAGATAAGTTCTAATATAATCTGAAATTATTCTAAGAATCCAAATACGGTTGTTATAATTATGTTTTTGGATGAAATGATTCATTTATTCTTCCCAAAATTTATCAATGATGATGTAAGACTTTGATCTTCTTCATCCTCTCTTCCTCTTCCTTTGTCTTCTTCCTCACCCTTCCCTCTCTCCCTTCAGCTAGAATTGTTGTCTTAGAAGCAATAATTTAGACCAAGCTTGACGAACTAATTCAAATAAACTCAAAAAATTTTAAGATTAGGCTTAGAGGTTTGAAGGACTTTACTCCGGGCTTATTCGAGCTACTTGAATAAACACTAAAAAATTCTGGTCAAGCTTGAACCCAAGTAGACTTAGTTCGAATGTCCAAAATTCTTTTTTATTATTAATAAAATAATATAAAAATTGAAAATATTGATTTTTTAAAATAAAAATTGAAATTAGATAAAAAAATAAAAAATAAAATAAAATAACATTTAACAACTCAAGTATTTAAGATAACTCAAATAAACCTGAAATCCTGAGAAATTAAGGTTGGGTTTGGCTAAATGAGTTTTTTCTATATGTTAGGATATTATAAACCAAATTCAAATAAACCCAACCTAAATAAGCTCGGATCGCCTTAATTACTAACTCTACCTTAGGGTGTGGTATATTCACTGTATCCTTGAGCTTTCACCATATCCATAAGATTGCAAGAGTTGAGTTTGGAAAAATCAATCATGAGAACCTTCCAAACATCGAAGGTGCGCATATTTGGAGGGAATAGAGTTCAAATGATCGGATTCAACAAGCTATTGCATAATAGGCATCGTTCCCATCATTTTGCAATTCTTTTTTTGAGTTTGGGTTGAAGAAACCAAAATTAAAGAAGTGCAAATGGATTAAAGAAACCTTACATCATGTTGAATACATTAATTCATGCTGAATCTATAATTTGCACTTTGCACATGTTGAATTCTTTAAATTTGAATTTGCCCAGGAGCCCAAATGGACTATGTTGTGAAAACTATCATGTAATATTGTGAAAACATAAAGGTTCTCAAATTTGAGTTTGTCAATACTTGAATGAGAATACTTGTTTCACTCTTCTTTATTTGAATTGGTTTAATGCTATTATTTCAGCCTCTTCATAGTTGATGCATAATCTTGTGTTAACTTGAATTGAATTGTCTTGAATTGGTTCTTACATGATCTTGTGGAATGATTCTAGACTAGAACTTAGGTAGTGAATAATCTTGCAATCATTCTAAGTCTAATTCATAGCTTGGTCGAGACAATGGATTAGAGGAACATACTAGGAGACTTATTATAACTAGTAACCAAGGCTAGGTACACTTAATCTAGTGGAACTAGGCAAGGTTGGCTGGTTAACTCACTTAAGTTTAATTGAATCTAGGTGGATAATTAGCTAGTAAGGAGGATTAATTAGTAGACTACATAAATGGACAAGGACATCTCCAACACTATAATCTCTAGGATTTTCTTCATCTCACTAGGGCAACAACACTTTTACTCTAGCTTGCATTAGTGTTAGCAACTTTAGATTAGTTAAGAACTTAAATCATCACTCTTGATAACTCGTATGCACCTTAATAACCTGTTGAACAATTTGGATTAGCTCTTAAGGAGAAGACCTAGATTACACCCTAGGCTACATTTAAGGCCTATTTAGAATTTTATTTTGTAAGTAAGGCAACACACTTGTCACAAAGTCAAGAGAAGAAGTTAACTAAAAATTGAAGTTATATATGGAGGTGAAATTTGAAATTGAAGAGCTTTTGCTTGAGTTAGAATAATGAAATACGTGCATTGCAATTTTAACAAGAGACGAGATGTATGGAGATAATGCCACAAGTCACAAAAAGTTTAAGAATTTGGGATTGAATCTACAAAATAATGGTGAAATTGACGATAATATTACATTTAGGATCCAAGTAGGGTGGATGAAATCAAGGAAGGTATCAAAAGTTTTTTTTTTTTTTTGGTGATTACAAGGTCCCTAAGAAGCCTAAAGTAAAATTTTATAGAATTTGAATGAGATTAGCAATGCCATAGCCCCGTGAGCATAGAGATACTGAGATGGATGGGTGATTATACCAAAAAAAAAAAAGATATACACAAGGATCATATAAGAAGATAAATTAGCGTAGCATGTATGAATGGAGATAATAAGGGTATGATCGTCTAAGATGTGCTGGTGATGTCATGTGGAAAGAAAACTATTGAAAGACATAGAGAAGTGAAGGCGTGGGAGAGGCGGAGGAGGCCTCCATTCTCTGTCGCCGTGTCAATCACGCGCCCCTTGTCCCACGATGAAGAAATTCACCCATTACAATTAAGCTGTGTCAAACACGTATTTATGTGGTCATATATATATATATATATATAATGTGGGAAACGGAGGACAATAATTGAGAGAGAGGGTTGTCCATGTCATGTCACGGCGTCAGCACAAGTCGTAAAGTCTGGCGTCCTGTCTTTTAGATCCCAACACCTGTCCCTCCCCAAATTTTCGTCTTCATAATCCACATTTTACTTTCACTGTCATCATATCATTACCATTATACTACCAACACATCCTTTTACCACTTATTTGCTCTTCCTCCATGACAATCAAATCTCAAAATGCATGCACGTTCTTGCCCTTCTCACACCATCCAAAATACACCCCTTCCATTCTCTTATTGTGTGTGTGTGTTTTGGGTTCAAATACGATTTTTACACTTACCCAACTTATAAGATTTCACTTAAATAATCTAAATCTTATATTTATTTAATTATTTTTTCTACTCCCATAAAACAAATAGCCCTGGTTGGTGAGTCTTCATTACTAATGATGCCATGAAAAATATATCACGATTCAGGAGTATTTTGGGGGTGATGAATAAATAAAAATCTTTGAGTTTGGATTGAAAGACATGAACTTTGCCTCCACCTACTCTTCATTGTATTTGTCGTTTTATGAAAACATTTATTTCATGTCATATACTCCTACTGTTTTAGACTTTTAAAATATTTCCTCCCACCTAACTTATGTGATAATTTTAGAGAGATTTGACATCTCATCAAAACATAAGATATTTTTATAAAAAATAAAACTTTATTGATAATTTTGTTAATATTATCCTTTTCATTATATCATTTTTTTAATATTTTTTCATAAATAAAATATTAAAACATTGGGAAGTATAGCACTAAGGATGGCTTCAAAATGATATTATCTTCTGAATATCAAGGGCAACTTACAACCCTTGGGAGTAGTGCTATTTGGAAGCTCACACTTCCAATGAAACAGATTGTTTTCATTTGAAAGCTTCCTCATGAAGCTAATCCTTCGAATGACATTCTTCAAAAGCATCACTTATTTCCTGTCAGCAATTGCCCATTTAGATGCCAAGTTGAGGAAACAATTCCCGCCTTTTCTTCAGGTGCTCTCTCTAGGGCTTTATGGTTTAAAGTTCTTGCCTTCAAATTTGATTTACTTGCTCCAGGGAATCGCTTGCAGAATTTAAAGAGCATCAGCATGGGACTCATTGTCAAATATTGGTTAAATTAGTGATTATTTGGAGTCATAGAAATGCAATGATTCATCAAGGAATCAACCCAGATCTAGGTAAATCTATAAAAGCCATTCACCACACTTTTCTCTTCTTGAAGGAAATTTGTATCTGGTCGAATCTGGATCCCCAAGCACCTGACCTGAAAAGCACAAATGCAAATCTTAATCAATTCATGGGTTGCAGGATTTCTTCAAGCGATAGCAACCTTTTCTTTTCATCTGGCTGGTGCTTCCTATGTTAACTTCAAAGAGGAAATCGCAAGGATTCAAGACTTTGGAGTTGCTGAATTTATAGAAAAGGACATCAATTTGTTCTGCTCACCTGGCTGATACAAGGATCCTCTCGAACGATGCAAGATGACCTTCACTGCCTCCGCACTGGTCTCCTCTGGCTGAAACTGACCCATCTCAGTGAGAAGGTTTTGCAAAGTGGTTCTCTCACTCTTGCTTGTTGACCGACATTTTTTCTCCAGCCCTTGTTTTCAAAAGATGTGGTCTCTGTCCTGGAAGAAGTTATTCACACACGCCTAAGCAACTTCCAAATAATTAACAGGATTACTCTCTCACACTGCCAATAGCAAGTGGACACATGCCTACCGACAGTCCGCTTTTACATTCAGTGCTGTTATTTTTCTTTTTCTTTTTAATTTTTTTAAACTATTTAAACTTTGATAAAAGAATGAAGTGTTAAATGAAAGGTATTTTTAAAAATTTATATTTTTATTTAAAAATATAAAATTATAAAATATATTTAATAAGTTTTATTAATACGTGTTAATTCTATTTAAAAATATTTTATAATCTGACATGAAAAAGTAAAATTTAATGATATTTTTACTATTTTATTCTCAAGTGATATTTTATTACTTTTTGCATGGTATTAGAGGCAACAAACTATTAAAATGAAAGTGAAGGAAAAAAATTAATAAAATATATCCTATTTTTATATATTTTTTAATCTGTATGTAATAATTTTAAATGCTAAATATAATAAAATGAAGGGAGTAATATTTATTTAGTTGCTTCATATCAATCGAGGAATATTTCCTTATAAAAATCTCGTGGAGCAGACTTATTCACAAATAAGTCTCATAAAGTCAGGTCATTTAAGACCTAAGTATAATTTAAAATTAGACTGTAAAAATAATAAGACTATACTCCTATTAAACAAATATTACATTAATTAAATAATTAATTTAATTACGAATGCTTCATCTACAATTTATAGCTATAATTTTAATTTTTTACAATTGTAACTTTTCATATTTAATAATTAAACAATCATGCGTTACTAATAAAGTTTAAAATTGATTATTTACAACAACTTCATTAATAATTTACAACTATAACTTTAACTATTTACAATTATAATTTCACATATTCAATAGTTAAACTAATTATTGAATATGTAAAGTTACAATTGTAAATAGTTGAAGTTATAATTATAAATTATTTAACTAATATAATATATATATGTTTAATAGGGGCATTATTATCCTTTTATTCAAATTTTAAATTATATTTAGGTCCAAAAAAAATTTAGTTGTAGTTTTTAAATTTTACAAGATTTAATTGTAAATAAGTCAGCATGAAATTTATATGCAATTTTCCCTTTCCTTTTTCACACCTTCTAAATTCCTAATTCAATATTATTTCATGAGTAAATATGAAATCCAGATAGGCAATCACATAAAAATGACACTTTTGACCCTTCTCACTCCGTGCACGTAGAGGTGAGAAATAGGCCCTTAAACTCAATTTTTCAACAAGCTCAAGGTCAAGCCTATAAGTACTTTTTTTATTTTTATTTTTTGGATTTTAAAAAAAAATTAAAATTTCAATTATAATATTTCATAGTTTTTAAAAATACAAATTATAATATTAAAAAATTAAAAATAAATAATAAAAAATTATATTTTAAAGTGTAAACATATTTTGAAAGTTAAAATTAAAAAAAGATCTAAAGGGATAGTCGGGCTCGAGCTTATTTTTTTAGAACCTATTAAAGTTGGGTTTCAAAGCTCAATTTTTTTAAAAAATGTTATTTTTTTTAAATTCAAATTTATAAAAATATGTTTAAGCAACTAGCCGATCAAGCTATATCATAATTTTAGGCTCTAACAACCGCATGGCCGCACCTGCATGCATATAATTTGAGGCCAGGCTTGTCAACGTTGCCTCTATGAATGATATGGACATCGAATTTAACCCCATAATATTACTGTCGGAGCCTTCTTTTACCCATATCGCAAACAAACTTTTTCCGCAAAGTTGGGGGTTTATTATGAAGATGTGAGCTACATTTTTAAGAACATTGATACTTTATCATTTGATTATCAAATATTAAATGAACAACTTTCATTCTCAAAACATGCATGAAATTTGGGAGAATGACATTTAAAGCACTCTTAAAAGAAATTATCACAATAAAGATCCATTAATTTTATATTAAATGTTGTCTCGTGAAAATATGTAAGTATTTTTAAAGGCTGAACTTCAATTTATTTATTTTTTTTATTTTTTTTAAATTTAACAAGTTAAAGTTAAACTTTTAACAATAATATATACATATTTTTATAAAATAATATCCTATACAAAATTAATAGATTCTTATTATGATAAATTACTCTCAGAGTTTTAAATGTCATTTTCCCAATTTTTTTGTGTTATGATTTCATGTTTTTCCTTTTATACTTGAAAGATGGCTTTAGGTTTGTGTGAAAGTTTAATTGTCCTGTCCAACCCAATCTAATTTGGACAAACTCAGTTTGGTAAAAAAATTGGTTTGTAGGACCAAAGAAACTAAAGAGATTAGACTAACTCCTCATATTAAATGGAACAGGAGACCAAGTTCTCAAACTACTTGATTCAATTAGATATGAAATTGTTTTAATATAATTTTAATTATTTTTAATATGTTTGAATAGTTTAAAATTTAAACACAGTGTTACCTTTATTCACATTTCACCTTTTTTTAATATAAATTTAATTTAGATTGTTGCTAAATTATTGGTATAATGTAAATTAGACATGTTGTTAAAATTTGTCGAAGGTTATTATTATTGAAATTATGAATTTCAATAATTTAAATTGTAATTAAAATATTTATTGTTATTATTAAAAATTATTATGAATTTTTTATAATTATAAATATTTTTATTATTTTAATTAAATTTATCATGTTAATATAAATTGTTGCCTCCCACAAAAAAATTAAATGAATATTAAACCGTCAGGATCAATTCTCCAGTCTTATAAATCAGATTCACTCCTGTAAAATTAGACCAAATTACGGTTGGCGTAATCTCTTTTTTTTTTTTTTCCTTCTTGTATGAAAGAAACCAAATTTTGAGTAACACTAGTTCAGTCTTGTCAAGTCTTTTGCGCATCGGAGCAAACGGACACAAGTGAAAGGTCTACAGAGTCTCCCCTGTCTGCCTCTAAATATAGTAACCACAAATCTCTCCCTTCCATGGAGTTTGGGTCGCACTGAAAATTCTCTCTCACCTTCACTCGCTTCTGCTTCAACCCCCTCACTCTCTCATTATTGCAACTACACTGTTTAGAGTATTAAATCCATTTCTTCCTCGTGTTCTGGGCTAATTCCGGTTTCCCTGTACTCGGTTACTCTTTGGCTTTTTATTCAGTATCTGAATTTGAGTTTTTGCTTCTATTCAGTCCTCTGCTTAAGTCCACGCGCAGTCTTTAGTTATTCCTATTTCCGTTGAGCATATTCGCTTACCGTTTCACAGGTGCTTCTTTATTCATTTCACGTGTGCTTCTGCCTTTTTTTTTCTTTCCCTATTGTTTCGCTGTCTTCTTCTCTGGATTTTGAGCTCTTTGTGATGGGTTTTCTTCCTTTATTCAATCTTTCTTGTTTTCAGGAATTAAGCAAGTTCCCTCACTTGTGGCTTCAGGACGGATAATTTCTTTGCTTCTCTCTCTCTCTCTCTCTCTTAAGACTCATTGTTACTCCCTGCAAGCTTTCTGCTCCGTTGAAGCTTATACAAATCTAAATCAACTTTTGGGTAAAGCAGTACTGTTGACATAATATTCTTGAATCAATTGAAGTGGGTCCTTTACTTTTCCTCGGACTCTGATTCTTGCATATGTAATGGAGTCTTGGAGATACAGTTCTGAAGAACAGGGTTTTGTGCCCAATAATACACTTCCACCTTCCAATACACCTGCGAGAAGTAAAAATTCCTTCCTGGGTTGGGGATTCAAAACTCAACCTAGTTTTTCCGGCAACGTTTTGGCCCCAGCTCAACAACATTTCGAGAGTCAAGATTGTGAGGAATTGGGATTTCCAGAAATGTTGGGGAAACAGTTGTTAAATGATCCGCTTGGCTGTATTATGAATGATCCGAATTCATTTTCTGGAGGTGAAGACTCTGCTTCAAAGCTTTCAAACTCTGTGGTTGATTCTAATGGCCGGGATTCCCTCGTTGATTTGAAGTTGGGACGAGTTGGTGATCAAAGAAATGTCATTGAATCGCCATTTCCCAAAGGTATTCCCTTTTTGTGTTCATCAGAGTCATCTACGACCCCCAGGAGAGTGAGAACTTCAGGGGTTCAGTCACAGACTGCTTACTGCCAAGTGTATGGCTGCAACAAGGATCTAAGCGCCTCTAAAGACTACCACAAGAGGCATAAAGTTTGTGAGGTTCACTCCAAGACTGCTAAAGTCATAGTGAAGGGCATAGAGCAGAGGTTTTGTCAACAATGTAGCAGGTCGGTCAATTTCTCAGTCTTCCACCTTTCAACTCCTTTTGATTGCCGATTGATACATAAAATTAGTTTTAAGACTCCCAAAAGCTTTTTCTCCTTTCTCATGTCGTGGAAAGCTAAATTTAACCTCTTAAATTAGACGTTGTAAAGGTTCTTTTTCTCATGTCAATATCTCAAAGCTTTGCCTGCTATTGTTTTCATGTTCCGCCTTTCAAATTTTCTTGTCCAACTTGTTATCCCTCACTGCCCCACACCATTATATATCATTACTGTGGAAGTCATTGAATGCAACTTTTTCCCCCCTTTTCTTTTGGGTGGTTTTCAAACATCCAAGAATTTAGCCTCCCCCTGCTGGCTACAGGAGCAAACCTGACCTAATCATTGTTGGATATTTCTACTTCTCAAATAGAATCTATTTTTTAGCACTTCGTCTTGCTTATTAAATTTTGGAGTTCAGACGTTCTGACAAAGAGAAGCTTTAGAAAACAAAGCCATATTATTATGATTTTATAGCACCGCTAAAATGGTTAGCTATATATTCAGGTTTCATTTGCTGGCTGAATTTGATGATGTTAAGCGCAGCTGTCGCAAACGCCTTGCAGGCCACAATGAGCGTCGTAGAAAGCCACAAATGGGTACTCACTCTGGAAAGGGAAGGAAGTTAATTCCGTCGTATAATGGTATTAATATATCTTTTCTAAATCAAATCACAATGGAATAGATCTTTCCTCCCATAGTCCTATTAGGGCCTCTCAGGACATTCATATGCATTCTTGCACTTGTCATCCTCAGAATTTGCAGTAATTCCGTACTTCTTAGGTTTGAAATTAGATTATTTCTGTAAGTGTATAATTTTTCTTGTCTCATGTGAACGAATGCCGAGTTGTGATAGAGACAAAAAGACAGCAAGCCTTGCAAAAACTGGTTTCTTTTCTCAGTTCATTTCCACATTTTCAAATTTATGACCACTGGAATTAGCTTCTTAATGTTGATTCTGGAAAATTCTGTAGCTCATTTGCCACTCGATCCCCCTGAAGCTCATCTGGGAAATTCTGGAAAATTCCTAAAGCTTCCTTGATGTAAATTTTATCATATCATACATATCATAGCACCCCATTCTATTCAGTGTAGTTTCTTGGTGAAAAAATATTGATGTCCGGTGGTATTTGCTAATTAGACAGTTGTGCTGCCTTTTGCATGCTGAATTACTCTGGATAAAATTTTGATACACATCTGAGGATATACTCTAGTCCCCTTTGTTTCAGAATGGTTTTTGTTCATCAATACTCTCCCTTGTGGTCACTTATAGTCTATCCTTTGTCAATGGTCAGTTTTGAGGAATAAACGAGAGGATTCTTGTGTCAACAATATTTATGTTGGAATATTAGGCCATATGATATGTTTGAACTATAAGTGATTTGCCCGACAAATATGGTGGGGTGAACTCAGAAGAAATTCGATCTTTATTCTCTATATCTAGTCATCTTTGAATACTAGATTAAATCATGGGAATTTAATTACATTCATTTGGTAAAACATTACCCGATCACTGTTAGCATTAAAACTATTATATGATTAACTTTGACTCCTGGTTTTGTTTCACATTATTAACCTCAATTTGACATGCACATGTTACGTGTTAGCTTCCTGTCAAACTACTTTCTTTCTGAGGAAAAGGAAAACAGGCTGAAGAGACGTGAGAGTTTCCATTGGTTACTGTGTTTTCTAATCCTTGTAAGATTCAAGGGGATATTGCTTTTTTCTACTTTTCGAGTTTTAAAACATTTATGTGTGCTCCTAAAATTAGTATGAAGTGGTAATTGGGAAATTCAAGTTAGTGTTATTTGCAATGTCTGGAATCTAAGCTTCATACTCTGTTTTCCTTTGTTACTTAAAGTCTAAGACTCATTTTGGCATGTCACCAACTATTGAGCTGCTTTATTTTTTTCAAACGGTTTTTAAATATTGTTCTGATATGATAACCAATTTTTTATATATGAATTTTCGTTGTTACGGAGATATTCTTTGTTTATGAAATTTTTAGCTCTGAAGTTATATAAAGGTCTGTGGTTCTTGCAGATAGCAGATTCCAGGGTAGCATGCTAACAAGAGCATCTTTTATCTGTCAAAAGATACTTCCTAGTGGTGTTTTGCATTCTGAGAAGTATGGCACTGATAACTGGCGGAAACCTATAAGGGTCCAAGGTGGCAGTGATTTTAGACATATCTCTGCTACTCCTATCACAAATGGGCGTTCTCAATCAAGATCTCTGCTTCCTTCATATGCTGAAAAGCAATATCAGCTCCTGAATGAAACTGGTGCTCTGCCCACTACAGGAAGCATATTCTGTGAGAACAGTAGTCAGTATCCGCTTGCTCTTGGACATAGTTATTCTGGGCCACGATCACCATACCAAGACACCATCTTAGGAAGTAATGACTTTAATGTTTTTGATACAGCATCAACCATTCAGGGATTATCGGGACTTACAGGCTCGGGTTGTGCTCTCTCTCTTCTGTCATCTCAATTCCAGAACTCATCAAGCCATTCATCAGCAATGCCCATGGGTCGCCCCAGCCACTACAGCTTGAGTCATGCCTCTGAAAAGGTCATGGGAATAAGCTCCCAGGCTTCTACAGGTGGGGTGTCAGCGTCAGGTAGTTTTCCTTCAGAAACAAATCATTTTGATGGAGGTCGTCTTGGCCCTGTGTTGATATTAGACAATAATGAAATGGTGGACATAGAAATCGCAGATGGTATTTTTCAAGGGTTAGATGCTGTGAATATGAAAGCCCGTCATGATGGCCCCACTATTAACTTGCTTCAACTGTCATCACAGCTTCACCGAGTTGATCATCAACGCCAATCCTTGCAGGTGAAGCAAGAAAATGATTCTTTTTGCTCCCTCCGGATTACTTAGGTGATTTGGAAGAGGTACATCTTGAAAAGTTAGCAACAAGCCATTTTTCTTTCTGCAAAGTAGATTAGTTGACCACTTTGCTGCTGATGTACAACAATTTTCTCCGAGAATAATGTACCAACCTGAAATGGTGTTTTTGCTTCATGGGAAAATGAGTAGTCTGTGCCTATCAGTTTACAAATAGTGAAAGAAACATTGATTTATTTCCCTTCGGATTCTGACGGAATGATTGATATTCTTAAACATACGAGTGTGATACTTTAAGATGGAAGTAATTGTGAACGGAGCATGATCCAGGTCATTGACACAAGGTAAAGGCGAGAAAATAGCAATGCACCCCTTAGAAACAATATTAAGCTACAAAAGCAGCATGACTATTGTCAATTGAATTGAAAAGAAAGAAATATTTTATTTGTTGGGGGGTTTGATTTTACTTGTGACGTGTGAAAGCAATAAGGAGCTAGAGTTATGAATATTTAGATAAGTACAAAGTGAACTTTGCTCTGATATGATTTCTCAGTACCCTATTCTTTGGATGCAGGAAAAAGGAAGAACGGCATGAGGCAGAGGCCGATGATATGACAGTCCTTCTGAGGATTAAACAACGTAAACGGAACCGTTTTAAGCAATAGGGAACTTCAAATGGCTTCAAGTTTCCAAGAATGATAATTGTTAGTTCGAAAAGGCTGATGCATTTTGGTCCCTTTCCGGGGCATCGGCAGTTCATCTAGGTCCATCATTGATTAGGACTTGAAACTTTTGATTTCTTCTATAGTCTGTAATTTTTTGTTTTGGGAGAAATTCTAAAGTCAACCAAGCTGATATGTATTTAACTCCAAGTCCAAGTTGAATTTGTATTTTATTTTCATTGAATAAATTGTGAAAATTTTCATTGAAATTTGATTATCCTTCCTGTTATCTGGAATATTTTTAATGATATTTACTATTCATTATGTCATTATTAAGACATATCATTTGACATTATTGAAAAATATTATTTGATATGACATTGTCATAAATAATTATTATTAGGTTGTTTCTTCTTTCCTGTATATATTGCATTTTTCACAATAGTAATAGATATGGTATTTTTCAATCTTCTTTAGTCTCTCTTGTCTATGATAGCTTTTATGATACTAGAGTCATAAAATATTTTTTTTACACCCAAAGTCAGTGCCTTCATTGTCAGTGTTTCCATTCTCCGTCACAAGTTTGGGGGATCATATTCATATTGATATGCAACCTTTTGAGAGAGAAGAAAGAGAATGTAATTTTTGCGTTTTTTACAGGGCAGTCTCAAAAAATTGGAGTTTGTGAATTCGTTAATCATTGGATCGGGCTGAAATTTGGTCAGTAGGTTCATAACATTCAATCTGTTATTTTCATTAATTGGGTTGAAATTTGTGAGTTCATTAACCATTAGATTAGGTTAAAATTTGGTCAACAGGTTTATAACATCCAATCCATCATTTTCAATGATTGGATCATAAATTCATTCTTGTGAGAGTTATTATGTCCGCACTACAACCTCTATGGACCATGACCTTGTATACCTCCTATAATTGGTTCCCTGATTTGTGCTACTATGTAATATTTAAATTTTTTTATTAATGCTTTTTAGGTTCTTTTCCTTAAAAATGGTGAAATTAAAAGTTGCTCAATCTACCTTAGTTACTTTAAATTATTGCAATTATTATTTTTAGTTGGAAAAATGAGATATTGCTCAAACTCCTTTAGGATCCTCCCCTGTTGCACTTAGGCTCAATCTACTTTAGGATCCTCTTTAGTTGAACTTAAAACTTTGCTGTGCACACTTACATCTCATTCCTATAACCCATTTGTTGCCTTTTCTACTCCCCCTAGTAAATTCACTTGGTATTTTGACTCTGTTTGTTGCAATTATATGGCAAATCAGACAGATTTCTCCTCCTCTATGATGCCTAACTCTACTGACTATCCTATACATATTGTTGATAATTCTCAAATGTATGTCAGTCATATTGATACTATCTCCTTGCCTTCCCTATCTGCTCATGATACATATTTTGTTTCTACCATTAGTTTTAACCTTCTTTTTGTTAGATAACTTGTTGATATAGGTTATGACATTATTTAATAAATGTAGTTGTGTTATGATGGATTCTCATATGAGACAAGTTGTTAGGACTAGGTGCAAAGTTGTTCATATGTTTAAGCTCACCTTAATAGACCTCCCTTAGGGCTACTCCTTCAACATTATATACTACCTCTGCATCCTCGTCTCCTGATTCCTCTCTTGACTTATGGCATCATCGTCTTGTTTACCCTTCTATGAGTAAATTGCAATATTTAATTTCTAGTGATCTTTTAGGTTATGTTTATAATCAATCTTTGTAATGCAGTTCTTATCAAACTGCTACACAACCTACTTTATCTTTTTGAAAAAAAATGTTTCTATTGTTACTTCTCCATTTGATTTGATACATTCTAATATTTGAGGTCTTGCACCTACTCCTTCTATAAGGGGATCTTAATATTTTGTAATTTTTGTTGATGACTTTTCTTGTTTTACTTGGATCTATATGATAAAACTTCACCTTCAGTTATCTAAACTTTATATCAATTTGTTACCATGATTCACACTCAATATTTTAAAGTTTTAAAAAAATTTCATTGTGATAATACTTTAAAATATCGTGACTCTAGATTATTCAACTTTCTTGATTCTCAGGGCACTATTTTTTAGTATTCTTGTTTCTAAACTTCTCAATAGAATGGTAGTACTGAACATAAACACTATCATATTCTTGATTCTATTAGAGCATTACTCATTCCCTCTTCTTCTCCTAAATGTTTTTAGGGTGAAGTGGCCTTAAGCTCTATCTTTTGCATTCATTGACTCGCATCTCCTATCATTGGTAACATTTTTCCTTTTGATCATCTCCATAATTATCCTCCCAATTATAAAGTCCCAATTCAATCAAGAGTTTACCATTCCCAATCACACAATCAAAAAATCAAAATTAGAGTAGTAGCCCTTTATTTATTTTCAAATCACGGGATCCCAACTTCATAAAATATATATTTAAATAAGAGGGCTAGTGGAAGCACAAACACAATCAAATGACTCAATAAGACACAATTTCTTAACCTTGAAAAAGGACCATGCGCTACAGTATGTACCACATGCGTCGTAGCATATGGTACAGAGCAACGTTCTTTGTTTTTGTTTGCATCGGCTCATATGACAGTTCAGAAGATGAACTTTTGCTTTGCTCCATTTTCACATCTGATGTTTGATTGGAGTAATTAAAGCGCCACCCGATACTTACAATATATACTAGCTAATGGAACAAGTTTGAACTCGATTTGACGGTCTAATCTAAAATTGAACACCCTAGTGCAAAAAGCCACTTTTCTTTGAAAAACTTACACTTTAAATGCTCAATTCTCATTCATTGTCCCATTAGACCACTTCAGGCCTTAAACTAAGTCTAAAAGGACCACATATACCTGATTAACGCCTCATACCATATATATCACATTCATTGCCCATTTTGGCCTCTCAATGCCATATTACACAATTGTAGACTTATAAAGAAAAATACATACAACACATATTCACATATATATAATTAGACTTGTTTTACTTTCAACCATTTGACTCTTACATATAGAGCTCCACCTCACTATATGGTCAAAAATCATAACATACTCAACTCTTCTAAATAAGGCTTTGCTTCACCATTTGTATCAAGTTCTCATATATATATATATATATATATACACACAATTCACATTCAACACATAACCATCACATCAATTCACATATAAATAAGTAGAACAAGTTATACATAACATATACTTACTTGAATGGCATCTAAGTCTACTTACCTACCCTCTATTGAGGCACCCTTGGCAAGATGCACATCATATACACATACAAGTAAGGTTTTTACAACACAATTCATATACACAATCATTTATGCATCATAGTTGGCAACTCTACTATCACAACTCATTATACATTCATTTATACAAATGGTAGTCATACTACTACCAAGTAAGACTACTCTTTCCTCACTTCCTATCTCGACCTTCTCATGCTCTCTTCACCTGTGTTAAAAGTAACGGAGTGAGACATACGTCCTAGTAATTCAGAGGTAACCCTAATTACTAGTTAGTAAGCAAAATCATAAACAAGTAATAAAGTAGCATGTGCGTTAGTAAAAATAATATCATATACATATACAAAAATTTATTCTCATCAATCTCGTTATACTCATGCAATGCATTCTTGGTTTCACCTAACAGAGTAATCTTTATGCTTAGACCAGAACTTTACAATCATAAGGAACAAGGCCCACTATACCACTGCTCAGATTAGGTAATCCTTTTCATGTATGGGTGGTCTTTTAAGTCTGTCACGGCAAAGTTAAAATCTACGCTTTGAATTATCAGGACTTCTTAGCCTTATATAGAGTAAGACCCAAACCCCTTACCCCAGTATAGGGTAACCTCGTGGATAATTTTATATCCTAGGTCCATCATGATAGAGTCAAGTTTTATACTCTGGATCATCAGGATTCTTCTCCTAAGTATGTCTTGGTGGAATCAAGCTTTACGATCTAAATCATTAGGACTTCTTGGACCTCCTCATAGTAAGGTTGTGTCCCCCTACTATAATTTAGGGTATACTCACGAATGCAATGTATGTCAATACACATGCCACCTCAAATTCATTTTAATCAATACTCACACACCTACATGCATATTCTTTCATAATGCTACTACTCTATCAGTTCACAACACAATGCACATAGTTATATCAAAATACTTGTTAACAATTTAAAAATAAATAAGTAAAAAGGTTATTTCAATTACCTTTAACATTTACTATTAAAGATTACTAATCACATTAAGCTCCCAGGGGCGCAGATTCTCATAAGCAACTTCACATGTGCTTAATCTACATAACACAGTACCTCTCAGTCAATTCTCAACACTTCACAAAGCACTAATTCAGTTAAACTGAATCCCTTAACACATGAAATGATTCAATTAACACTTTTTGAATCCACTAGTCCATTATTTATAGTCATTAGCCCTATAGGCTATTTAAAAACCATAATAACCTCTTAATTCATTCATTCATCCAATTTCACCATTTAACCTAATTTATTAGGCTAAATGAGCCTAAATCCTCAAAACTTAACCATTCAACTCCATACTAGTCATAAAATCTTAGTTCTGTATTCGATAGCCTATTTTAAACCTTTCTTTTAGATTACAACACCTTAAAACTTCACAATTTAATTTCTCAACTGATGAAATTTAATGAAAATGGGGTAGAATTGAAGCTTAGGATTGTGCGATACTTACCCAATAAATTACTAATTAAAGCAGGCTCCCAAGAGCTGAATAAGGCTTGCCCTAACAGAGATAGACTCCTCTTCCCCTCTAAATACGTTTCCAGCAATTTCTCTTCTAATTTCACGAGCTGATCATGTTATCTTTAAGTGATCCCTGAATAATGCATCATGGCGCAAGCAGCTTCCGCCTTGGTGCATGGCACAATAAGTCTAATCTCACTTGTGCTCGTGTGTTATGCCTTGAATTTTCATTCTACCCTTCAATCATATCAATACAACATCCAAACAATACAAAACATTAACTCAACACTCAAATCACAATTAATTTACTAATTACTAATTTACCTTTGATTAACAATTAATTCCTAGGATTAAAATTCAAGATGTTACATCGATAGTCTTTTGAAAGTCTTTGCTCTTGCCCATTTTGTTCTTCTTTCATCTCATCAAACAAACAATCTTCAAGCTTGTTCTCACGTATGTTGTTTCCTTAGTTATGATTCTAAGCTTGAAGGTTATCATTGTTGGAATCCTCTCTCTCATTATATTCACATTTCTTGGTACATT